TATTTATACTATAGTAAACTATTCAGCCAATACAAAGGATAATGTAAATATAGCTCTAACAGACACCCTCAGTATACTGGTTAAGATATAGGGTGGGCAAATTTCCTAAGATTATGTATGCTGTGGTGCCATTTTTGTAAAAACATATGCAAGTACATGCACATAAATGTATATAATACATAAATATGTAAGATTACACATCAAAAATTTCACAGATATCAGTGGGTAACTTTGCACCCATACTTTCTAATTTTTCTACAAAAAAACATACTAGTGAAGTTATTTTTATTTAAACAAAAAAATCACAACCTCTCTATACCTTCATCCTATACTTCTGTTTATAAGAAGCTGTGACAGTTGTACCCAATCACCTAACTTGCAGCAATATCTAGGGGCAGTGTGAGGTAACATAAGGAATTAAAGAAAATCCCTAAGGATAATATCGTAATGTCTCCACTGATGATGAAAATGAGTTTCAGGAACACTCCCCACTGTCAGGAACTTTGTTACCAAAGGAGAACAGTTTTAAAAGATAGGGCTGCGCTTCAAAGATGCTATGTGTTGGAAGGGCGATTCCTTCCTCAATTTCCAACTCCAACTTACAAGATGCCCAGCCACTTACTGTCTTCCTGGAGACCCAGTTAGCTCATCACCCTACCTTGCCACTGCTTCTTTGAAAGAACCTCTTCCAAGAACTTACTCAAAAACATATGTAAACAAATGATACCTCTCTTAAAACATTTTTAAACCTTCCGTACAACTGACTATAGTAAATGGGAGGCTATATGCATCATAAAACCATGTTCTGCACTTTGCATGCTCTCTCTTATTCACCTAACCCTCAACCCCATAAAGAAGGCACACCATTAACATACAAGTTCATACAAGAAGGAAATGACTTACCCAAGGACACGTGAGCAAAGATTTAAACCCAGATCCAACTACAACCCCAGGCTCCTTCCACTTACATTACACTACCTTTAAAATACTTACACCTTATCAATGGTTACAAATCACTCCCATCTTTCTTAGCTTATCCTTTAAAGACAAGATAGCATCTGTCCCGGGCTGTTCACTAAGGGCTTAAATGCTCTTTGCTTTCCTTCAAAGGCCCATCAATGTTTCCTTTCACTTAGTGAACTGAGTATCTTACTGTGTGCAAGGCACTTATGAGAAATTCAAAGATGAGTAAAGCATAGCCTCCATCCTCAAAATACTCTAACTCCCAGGGACTAGGAGTAAACTACTAAACTACTATTATAACTCGTAAATGACTATTAAGTAAGAACAGACACTTCTATTAAAAAAATGCCATCAAACTTCAGGAACTGAAAAGCTCAATTTTCAAGTAAAACAGGTTTTACGCATTTAAGGGACCAAAACTTTTCTTACAATTGTGTCTAAGATAAACACATTTCTATTTTAAGCACAAAATGCAGTGTAACAATAAAAAGAGCTAACTGATGAAATTTACTAATGTGCTAAGTGTTCTGCATATAGTTAGTATTTGGTCTTCACTAAAACCCTGAAGTAAATACTATTAATGGCCCCATTTTGAAAGGCTGTAACAGAAAACAGAGGTTATTAGCCCAAAGTCACACAACTAGTAAATGATGGCATTGTGATTCACATGCAGCACCTACCTCTCTACTCTGCCTTTTGATACATACATTTATTTACTGACCACCTACTGCATCGTGTTGAGAAATGAGGAGAGGGCAGAGATTAAGACAGTTTATTCCTAAAGCTCACCTTCTGACTGAAAGACAAGTAAGAAAACAAATGAGATAATTAGATTGTATAAAATGTTAATACACACGGTGATGTGACAGAGTAACTGGGAAAGGTTTACTTCTGTTAACCTCTTGAAGTTTTGTTCTCAGTTTGTTCCCAAAGTCAAGCTGGCCAGACAGCCAAGCAGCGAGGACCAGCGAGGTAAGGAGTAAAGAGAAGAGAGACCAGTCCTAGTGAAGATGATCAGAGAAGTCGCGAGGAGAAGCCCTAGTTCATCACAAATGTGGAAATTGGCTTAGGAAAATTAGTGATCTGATCAAAGTCTCAAGCTAGGCCTGAAAGAATGGCTAAGATTTCAGAAGACAAGCGACATTTTGAGTGATGAAAAGAATACAGCCTCTGGTTAGAGCAAGAGAATAAAGCTGGATTCAGAAGAGGTGCCCTGATTATGGGGCTAGAATCCTGCAAGCAATAGTAAATCTACTTGTTAGAGGTGCTATGCTAGGAGTAAAATTATTTCTGTACAAAATGTTTTGTTTGTTTGTAGGTATTTGTTTGCAAGGTGGGGACCTATAGTAGGGAATGGAGTCAAGAGACCACTACTGACTTGGTGAGAAATTTTAAAAACTGACTATGGGGGTAGTAATAGGAAAGAAGAGAGACAGCTGTGAAAGCCACCTGGGATATGTTTGACTACAGGTATTGCAATGGTACCAGAAATCACCTTCAGAACCCAATATGAAATACCTCCAATCCCACCATACTGAATAAACCCTGCATGTTTTCACAACTGTTGACATTTTTCCACAAACCCTATGAGCCAATGTTCTTTGTACTAAATAATACCATGTCAAGGAGAGTTATCATCTATGCTTGATGAACATGGTTCTGAGATAAGTAGAAAAAAATGGAGAGACCAGTCCAACCCCACATACCTAAGTCTTGACAAAATGCCTTGTGACTCGGACCACTAGCTTTGTAAGGTTCCACTACGCCTCGTTTTTCATGTTAACCTATTGTTTTAATAAGTTTTATAGCCACCATGTCCTAGGTTTAGAGACTCCTTGGTCAGATGACCAGTGGACCAAGAAACAACTTGTTTGTTCCGAAACAAAGGAATAAGGAAAATTTGGTGTCCAACAGTTTCCTTTTCCTCATTATACTACTAAATTTCCCACCCCTGGGTAAAGAGTTTATGTGCTAATGCTACATGAGATGTCTTTGCAACATACGTGTATGTATGTAATCCAGTTGGGTATGTGCTAACTGAAACCCTCCCTATTCATGCTGGGTGACCTAATAACTAATAAGTGAACCTTCTCGCTCCCCATAATGGGAGCTACCTTGATTCTTCTCAGGACTGACTCTCTCCTGAGCAGTCTACCTTGGTCTATCAGGGTGTTTCTGTTTTCTTCAGTTCTCCAACAAAGCGCACTGCTAACTCTAGGTGTTAAATCTTTTCATATGTGAAGACAACGACCAAGGACCCTGTTCTAGAGTCTGCTGGTAACAGTTTCACAGGATCTTTTTAAAATCTTAGTATATAAGCATCTATACATATTGATTCATCTAGCATTACAAAACGCCACTTAATTTTAAATGCAACATAAACTGTATTTTTTCTACTCAGATGGCACACAATTTCCAAAAAGAAGTTACTGTTTTTTTAAGTCCAGGTCTCACAAAGGCCTGACCAAATTAGAATTTGAAAATTAATTTAAAGATACAAAAGGACTCACACCAGGTTTAGCATGTTGAGTAAGAAGGAGCAACACTTCTCCATGTGTAACTTTTTCCAAATGATACTAACAAGGTCAAGGTTCATATCCTTTGTAAAAACAAGACCTATGCAACACAGCTAGATCTCTGACAGTGGTTATCTATGAGTGTGGAGACTTAACGATTTTATTTACATGTTTATTTTCCATGCATCTTTATGTTTACATTTAAAATATTTACATTACTTGTATTTATTGCTCTTATAAATTTGTTTTCATCCTATTCATTTATATTTTTATATAGGACAGTGTTAAATTGTCCTGGCAGCCTTTTTAAGCCTTAACGTTTTACCAGCATTTCACATTCGTTAGATAATTTGGTTGTTCTCAGAACAATCCTGTAAAATATGTAAGCAAAAGTATCATCTTCCCCTCTGTACAGTGGTGGGACTAGAGCTCAAAAAGGTTAGGTAACTTGACTAGTTCAAGATGGCACAGTAACTGGCACGGGCAGGGCCCTGGCCAGGTCTTCAGATTCTTTGTTCATGCGCCTTGCCCCACAAGACACTACCAATTTAAAACTTGAATATTCATGTGTCTCTCTTCAACAAACCTGGACTGTAACTAGGAGCCATACCACTGCCGCCCTGCCAATATTCTGAGTACTGAAATGCCGCCAGAACACTAATACTCTTCAGTAAACATAAACACGAGCCCACGTTTCAGTCAGAAGCCCATTCAATGATGGGTTTGCTCCACTGCACAAAACTTATTAAAACACACTACAACCTTAAAGCATAACCCTTAATGAAACTGTCTTTTTCACTTAGTGGGAAATTCAGTAAATGAGAGCGGTGACTCATACCGGTAACTTACGGTTTTCTAAATTAACAATTTTGTATGCCGAAGGAAAAGAATTACAGACCCTTCTCCATCCCCACCCCCAAAGTTCCTTAAGTGTCAAAGCGCGGTAGTGAAACACTGAGACAGAAGTGCGGCTGGAGCTAGCATTCCTCCTCTCTGCCTCCCATCTTCCCCAGGCAACCCACTCCTCGAGGCCCAGGGGGTCTCTTCCCACCTCCCAGTCCTGTTGGGACACAGAGTGACCACCCAGCCCCGCCCCCCACCCCCACGGAGACCGAGACCTGAGCCCTGGCGGGAGTGCGACTGTGAACTCGCACGACAGGGACTGCCCCTTTCCTCGGAGTCCCCACCTGCCCCGGAGGCTCGCACACCTGGCACCCCACCAGGCAGAGGATACTGGGCGCGAACCAGCCCCTACCAGGGGCGCCCCCAGGCGGTGGGACGTCGCGGGGCAAACCCGCTTCCGCCCCTAGCCCACATGGCGGCGGCGGACCGCACCCGCGTCCGGAGGGGCCGAGGATCCCCGAAGGCCGGCGGGGTGGGGGCGCTGCGGCTGGGGGAGGAGGAAGCGCGGCCCGCGCGCCCGCAGCGGGGAAAGCCGGAGCGCGCCCCGACCCGCCGGGAGGGCAGGCGGAGAGGAGGGGGCCCGCCCGCCGGGCCGCGCCGTGGGAGAGCGGTGTCTACCTGCGAGCAGAAGTACGAGCCCTGGATGCCCAGCTTGATGCAGGTGGGACACTGGAGCTTGGCCTCGCTGCTGCAGCCGTCCGTCTCGCACACCCGCGTCTCCACCGCCGCCATGCTGCCTGGGAGCCGGGACGCCTTACCGAGGAGGAGGAGGAGGGAAAGAGGAACGGTTGGGTGGAGGGAAGGCAGGGGAGGGGAGGGAGGCCGAGCCAGGGGAGGAGCTCCGGCGCCGGGCCTGAGCGCAGTAGCAGGAGGAGCGCAGGGCCGGCCTGGCCGCGCTGCGCGCCCCGCCCCGCACGCGCAGCTGGCGCCCCGCCCCCGCCCGCGGGCCCCGCCTCCCGGCGGCCGGCGCGCACGTGGGGCTGTCGGCTAGCCCGGCCCAGACCTCCCGCCGCTCCCCGCCCCGCCTACGCCTTCGAGGAGAGGTCCCCTCGCCGCGCTCTCTCTGCACCGGTAGAGGCAGCTCCCCGGCTGACTGATTCATTCGCCCCGACTGAATCGAGGGGTCTGAAAGTCCCCACACTCGCAGGCGTTTGGAAAGGGTGCTCTACTCGGCTTTTGTCAGCCCTGCAGCTCCTCGGAGAAGGAAAGTAATTCCCATTTTTAAGTTGTTTCTCACTGATAGTGTCTGCTTCGAGGCCTAAGGACCACCGCTCCTTCACGAAAACGGGAGTCAGAGAGCTGTCAGTGAGAAGGTGTGCTAAGATTGGCATCGGCCCTCCCTGTCCCCAGTTTATTTTTCCCACCACGCCCGTCCATTCACAATCGACAGTGCTGGTAATACCAACACAACTACCAGCTATTCAATAAAACAATAATTTTTTGTATTATCCCAGTTAATTGTTTAAGATCAATAGGGGAGAATTGTATTACTCGTAACTAAGGGTTGAGAGCAGCTTTAGAGATCCCCTGGTGCAAACCTGTTGCCTAAATCTCTTCAGCTACATCCCACATCTGCCATTTTCTAACTTGTGCTTCAATACCTCCTGTCATGATGGAAGAGAGAGAAACTAATATTTATTGATCATCCACTAAGTGCTGTGAACTTTGTGTTACCTAATCCATATTTTTTTATAAACCTTTCCACATTTGGTAGTGAAGAAAAGCTCATATGTATTACTTTTAATAACTTTTGCTGTACAGGCAATACAAATAATAAAGTCAAGTAAAATATTTTGAAATGTTTTCTATACACGAAGCAAAAATCAACTATGGCATGTTTGTATTTATATATTTTTATATATTTATGTGATTTGTGTGTCTGTGTGTATATGTATATATAAAATATTTTTTAACAAAAATCGGACCATACCATGCAAAGAATTTAGCTACCTACCTTCTTCAGTTTATCATATTATGAACTGCCTTTATTGTCATTAAATATACTACCACATGATTTTAATGTCTGCCTAGTATTCTATTGTATGATTAATTTACTGAACCAAATTCACTAATAATAAACATTTAGGTTATTTTGTTATATATTATAAACAATATTTCAGTGAATACCCTCTTAACTAAAACTTTGCATACATCCTTATTAGGACATATTCTTAAAAGTGGAATTGCTGTATCGAAGGGTTGTCACTATTGTTTTTTATGTAGTTTGTCAAGTTTTTCTTCAGAATGTGCATAAATTTGTACTCTTGTCAGAACTATACTAGAGATCTTATTTCCTGAGATCTTACTAATGCTAAGTATTATCCAATTTTAATGACAGTCGTTTTGTTAAATGGAAAATGGCATTTTGTTCAGCTTTTTTTTATTAGTTAAAAGGCTGAACACTTTTCTCTTATTGTTAGCATTTGTATTTCTTGTATGTGTTTGCTTTTATTAGTTAAATTTTCTTTTTTGTAGAACAAAACTAAAAAGAAGCAAAAAAAAAACAACACAAAGCCAAGGCACAGTTTGGCCACAGTACCATACCTAAACATGTCAGTGTCTTGTTTGTCCTTATTCTTCAGTCTTTATCCACATGCATATTCAGTGTTTACATATTTTCAGTTATTGATGGAATTACTTCTACATTTTCACATAATATTATTTCATGGATTCCTCTTAGATTTAGAAAAACAATAAGCTCTATACATGGTAATTCCTTATGTGTTTGAGGCTGTCATGTTTTATGGTTGGTCATTTCTGACAACATCCCCTTGTATTTCATAGTATGTTTAGATCACTTGCAATCTTTGTTCATTTACTCTAGAGAAATCCAGTTTGTTGACCCCTGATAGGTTATGACCCAGGATTGAGCTAATCAAATACAGGAACAGGAATTTTTGAAAAGTCAAGTCCAAAGACCCTCAGTGTTCTTCTCAGGCACAGAGAGACTGGAAGCTCTCCTGCTTGCTGGCCATCTGTTTTGGAAGCTGCTGCTTCCTTCCATCTTCAGGAAAGCAGGGCTGTGGGGCGCTTAAGAACACAGATGTTGCATTAAGATAGGCAGGCCTGGGTTGGAACCTCTGCCTCCAGCTCCCCTCCCCCATGTTTCCATGAGCAACTTGTTTAACCTCATTTTCCGTATCTGAAAAATACAAGTCTACCTCGTAGAGTTTTGTGATAATTTAATTGGACAGATTTTGTGCAAGTGCATAAGAGCCCCATCTGTGATACTTACTAGTTAGCCTTGCTGTCATCTCCTTCCTTCATCCTTTTTATCCCCACAAAACAAGCTGTTGAGTGAGATAAACTTCCATAGACCGCCCTTCTGGCTGTTCTTAAGACAATCACCCAGATCCCTTTTGTTTAAGCATGAAAATGACAAACACAAGAGATTTTTATAAAATTTTATCACTCACAGTACCTGTTTTATTCTTCTCATCCTCCCAAGTGTTTTAACTCCAAGTCCCCATTGGCCAGATGATTTCTGTTTTAACTACTGTGGGCAGAGTTCAACCTTCAACCAACCAACTTCCAGGAGGAAGAATGAACTTCAGAGTCGCAGGAGAGAACTTGGGATTTCTTAAAATCTTTGGCCTTGGAGGTCGCTTGCTTTCCTGGACTTCTGTACAAAGAAAGGCACTTTTGCAATAGTGTTTAGGCCTGTGCCCAAAGCCTCTGCCCAAATAGCTACTACTATTCCAGTGTTTCACAGACAGTTCAAATTCAACATGACCAAAAAGAAGCAATGATCTTCTGTTTACCCAGTTTTGCCCTTAAAATCTTTTTCTCCTGGACTCTCTAACTTGCTTAGTAACATCATATGTCTACTCTTGTCTCCCAAGTTAAAAATTAGGCGCCTTCCTTTTCCTCATCACCCCCACATCAGATTAATCACTGTCCTATAGACTTTATCCTCTGAATATTTCTTTTATGTGTTCTGTCTATTCCTATGGCTTCAGATTTAGTTTACACCATTTTAAGCCTTTGCTTAGACTATTACAGTAGCCTCTTAACTGCCCCTAATCCACTGAATCTACCCTAACTTTAAGCTGATTGTTGTGAGAGACAAAGCTGACCATGCATTTCCCCTGCTTAAAGTCCTTCACTAATGTGGCCTACAGAGCCAAAGTCGGCGTTAAAGTGGTGGCCATGGCCTACAGAGTTAGGGCCAAGGAAACAGCGCTAAGGGGATCTGTGGGACCTCCAAGGCCAAAGCTAAGGAGATAATCAAAGAGACCAGGGTCTTAGTACATAAAGGAGAAATGAGCAAATAACTAAGTTACGGATAATAACCAAGTTTTTCATTGAGGAGGGAGTTACAAATATGGAAAGGATGAAGCATGTGGTGTTATATTGAAATTCAAATTATTGATGTTACTTAAGGTTTTGATAGCTATTATAGACTCTGTGTGTGTGTGTGTGTGTGTGTGTGTGTGTGTGTGTGTGTGTGTGTGTGAGTGTATAAAGCTCTAACACTAAAAGGTCCTAATGGTGATAAGGACACCTAATTTCCAGGTTTTGGTGTGTGTGTGTGTGTGTGTGTGTGTGTGTGTGTGTGTGTGAGTGTATAAAGCTCTAACACTAAAAGGTCCTAATGGTAATAAGGACACCTAATTTCCAGGTTTTGGTTTCTAAATTCCACTGTCCATGAAAAGGAATCAGTGCTTCTTGGAGAAATGTTCTCGTTCCAGGCCCAAAGCGGAGGAAGTATAAGATAACTCTGCAAAGTCTTATTGTACCAGAATATAACACAGAGCCCAAAAGTGATGGAAATTATAAAAAGATACAGTAGCTAATTTAAAAGGGCTCACAATGGCAAAAACGGGAGGCAATTTGAACATAAGAATAAATGATGATAGTATCAGATTATAACCCATTAAAAAAATAGTAATCCATGAGCCTATACTAATATAAGTAAATAAATAAATGAGGGACAAAAGTAAGCTCTTCTGTACAATATAGAATGGCAACCAATAAACATGGAGGGAGTAATGAAATTAGAGTATCACCGTTTGGCAACTGTTATAGTAATTTATTCAGGCAAGAATCATCAATGGGTGCTCAAACAATTGGATGAAAGTTTGTTAAGGAACAGGATATTTACACAGTCCCAGTGTAACTCCCTACAAAATATTTATCATTTAAAAAGGCATAAGAGTAACTTCACTGTGGAGAGAGCTTGCAGGTACTCTCTCTCAACTATGTTATCAAAGTTAAAATCACCAGGAATGGGGCAAATCGACTTTGTGCATCCCCTGATGTTAAACACTGAGAACACAGTATATCTTTTGTGATGTTCCTGCCAAAAATGCTTAATTGATTCTAATCATGAAGAAATAACAGACAAACCCACAATATACAATATAAGTGACCTGTCCTCTTCAAAATGCCAATGTCCCAAAGACAGGGAAAGATTTGAAGAACTGTTCTAGATCTAGACTAAAGAGACATGACAATGAAATGTAACATTTGAACCTTGGTTGGATCAGTCCAAATGAATGATTAAAAGTAAAGATTCTTTTTACTTTTCCTTGATTGCTTTTTTACTTAATTATTTTTACTTAATTGCAAGGATTAAAAGCAGTGCCTTGGAAAACCATAAGGAAAGGTGAAGTAACTGAGAGTTAACAGTGGAGGAACATTTCCACTTCTATGCCTGACTGAGTGAGGAGACTGGGCAAATACCCAAACCCACAGTGAGCTGGAGGAGGGGACCTCTAGCAGGAGCATGACCTTTGTTTAGGAGAAACTGGCTAGCCACTTTAAAATCATGAACCTGAGACCTCATTCTCTCCCCTCCTTAGAATCCTCT